TTTTTTTTTTTTTTTTTTTTTTTTTTTTTTTTTTTTTTTTTTTTTTTTTTTTTTTTTCACCAATTAGTTCGTGTATGGCAATTGTGGAGGGGGGAAAAAAAACAGTTAAGTACCTTTGATGCCGAGGAACTGGGACGCGATAAAGACCTCGAGTATGTTGTCGCGTTTGAGGAGGTGGCAGCTCTCGCGGCTCGGGCTGAGCATCCAGTCGTAGATGATCGAAAAGACGCGCGAGGTCACGCTGCTCTGTGTTTTATCAAGTTTTTATGGGTTATTTACTCGTACATGGTTCTCCTGTGCGGTTTACGGGCAATTTTTGTTAATGGGTATGTGTACAGCGGGGAGGGGTGCGTCTTGTATTTCCCCGAGGAAATCAATTTGCGCGACTGCCATAGGACGGAACGACTGGGATTCCGGAGGGATGCCCCTTGGAGGGTGAGGGTGTGGTTTTTGCTCCGAGCTTTGGTTGGTGCTCGTGCTGGTATTGGCTCAAGTGTGTATTTCTTTACCGATGACGCTTGCCTCGGAGGGTATTCATACCAGTGTCTAGTCAAAAGTTGCAAAAATAATATATTTTTCCCGATTTAGTTTGATATCATAGGAAAGTTGTACGTAAACGTGACGAATTTGATTGCCAAATGAACTGGCTTTTACTTCCAGGGTATTGTATATTTCTCAAATTTATCATAAAGAGATACCAATGATCACTATCTGATTGGAGACGAAATTAAAAAAAAAAAAAAAAAAAATTTCGAGATCGAGAACAGAGAAATACTACGAAATACTCCTCTGTATAATATCGTACATGTAATGTACTTGTTTCTTATTTCAGCAAAAGACATTGAAACGGAAGTAGACAATTTATAGCACACAGACAACCTTGGAAAAATCATTGAAATCGTGAGCAGGCATTCCGGTTGTTTTTTGTGCCTTAAAAAAAAGGGGGGAGGAGGAGATTGGAGGTCTCGGAAAAGAAAAAAGGAAAAAAAAGCGTGCCCGAGAGAAGAAAGGAAACGTCCGAGCGGCTTTCAGCCCCTTTCTGTGCCCTTCCTCGCTCCCGCTAGCTTTTAAAAAACTGGAAGCAAAAGAGTTGTCACTCCAACCCCTTGCCCCGCCACCGCTTTGTACATAGCGAGGGCAATCATTAGTATACGCTTGCACTCTGTTCGAGGGTCACTACATCCAAGCCTCGAGCACCCGCAGGTGAAAGGAAGGAGCGAAAGCCTGGAGTCAAATATAGCCTCCTCGAGGACTCGTCGCTGCCGAGCTGTAGTGGGGCTCGAGGGGCAAAGGGGTTGGGAGAGAGTCCAAGGTCAAAGCGAGAGCCCGGGCTAGAGCTAGATATGCTGACACAGGAGATTCGGGTCAGAGAGAGAGAGAGACTTTTTTTTTAGCTCGCACGACCCGTGAGCTTGCAAAGCTTTCGGACTCGTATTGTGTAACACTCGGGTTCTACCGAGATGGTTTTCTCTCTTAGTTCGTTGTTTTCGTTGTTGGGTGTGTTCAAACTTTTATAGCTTATTGTGCAAAAAAAATTAGTCCGTAGGTTTTTTACTCTCAATTTGACGCAACTGCCCTCGGTGGATCGGAATTACAAGTTTACTGGATTGTAAAAAAAAAAAAAAAAAAAAAAAAAAAACACAAAAAAAAAAATAAAAAAAAAAACCGGGTTTTTAAAAAAAAAAAAAAAAAAAAAAATCCATGCAGCGATGATTGGACGGATGAGCGCAAACACGAACATTCGGCCCATCGAGCTGCCACTGAAAGCTCTTTTCATTTCATTTCGTAAAGTTTGTTGTAAAATTCCACGCGTTTCGGGGTGAATAATTTCCAAACGCTTCCAAAAATAAACCAATCTATCAAAAACCTGAATAATCATTCCTCCCTTCCTCCTGGTGTAAAATCAATAAAAAATACACACACACCCCCCCTCGGAGAGCGGAAAAAAACACGACGGATGGCTCAACCGTATTCCAGGCAGGTTGATCCGTCAAGGGGGAGTGGCCGACACTTACCCCCGTGAGGTCCATCTGCTTGACGTTTTTGTCGTCAAAGTAGGCGCTGTAGCTTTGCAAGACGAGCAAGTGGCAGTGGAACTCGTCGTTGCCTATCCGAACGACGCAGTCGGCGTTTCTGAAACGAGAGGAAAAATGAGTCAATCGGTACTGAGCACTGGTACCCTCGGTGACCCATAATGGCGCACTTGTAGGTCGTGATGCGCCGCGCTATCTCCTTGTAGAGGTCCGTCTTCTCCGGTAGCGTTATGTTCTTCCAATCGATGGGCCGCTCGCTCGTGAACCCTAGACTGTTGCGCGAGGATTTTTTTATTCGCTTTGAAAATTCCCAAGCCAAATTGTCGAGTCTTACGAGGACAGGGGCACGTCGGTGGTGGGCTCCTGCGGCTTGTCCATGACGAAAGGGTCTCCGCTGTCCGCGAGCTCGTGCCGCTGGGAATCGGCTCTCGGGGACACGGGTAGTTCGAGCTGTGGCACAGCGACTCGGGCTTGTTCCGCCTTGACGTTCACAGTGGCGTTGTGCGGGTCTGCCACGAGGACGCTCAGCTTTTTGGACTCGAACACTACCTGCGCTTTATTACAACCACCAGGATTGAGACGGATTTTTGTTTTTTTATGTTTAAGAGGCGGACCTGGTCGGGGACGATTTTGAGGTTGCCGCTGCGAGTCGACTGAAACGGGAACAGCCCCCGCGAGCGCTCCCCAGTCGTGGATGGGTTGTCACCGGTTCCGAGTTTTGAGCTTTTGCCGCAGAGCTGTTGCACCAGGAGTTCTAGGTTTGGCGCTAGGGGTTTTTTCGCGGGAGATCTGCAGTTGAGCGAATTGGTTGGTTACTGTTTTTTTTTTTTTTTTTTTTTTTTTTCGAGGAATGGAAATTCGAGCCTTCACCTGGTGTGGATAGAAGGCTGCGGGACTCTCCTCGGTAGATCTGTCTCGTCAACAGTACCACCACCACGGTGTCGCCTGGGCGTCTTCTTGTCTTTCGTTCGGCCGATCGGGATCAGCGAGTGCCTGGAACGGAATGGAGCGGATTCCCCGGTGGATCCGGAGGGGCTTCTCCGTTTGGTTACCTTCCGTTGATTGTCGTCTATTAACGCGGTGCTTCGAACGACTTTGTTCCTCTCCTTGCCTTTGTCATCGGGTCGAGATGCTGCTGGCGCTCTGAGACTGCAGTAGTGAGAGTCGATGTTTGGTCAGACGGAGCGAGATACGTACAAGCTACTGCTAATTTTGTACAATTTTTTTAATTCACAGTGTACTCATATTTTGTTGTACACAATTTCATCGACTATCGCATAGTACCGAAGCCGTTTTTTTTTAAACACACGAGAGTTCCTTATCGGTATTTTTTTTTTTTTTTAGCACCACCCGTATGCTTTAAGTCATGTAATTTGAAATTTGTAAATACACTTTTGCTTTTAATACCTAAGGGCAGTCCGGAGATTGATAGAATTTTCAAACCAAGGGGGTAATGGTAAGAATTCGTGGATGTCTGACTATACGTTGACTGGTACTACTGCGCACAAAAAACGCGTTTTTACTCCAATGCCAAACGTTAAAAACACGGAGACTCTTTGTTTGTACGATCTTGAATTCCCAAAGCTTATTTTGTTAATAACCCAAAATATTATACCAATGTTGATTTTTATTAGTATACCTTATGAGTGAAAGTTCATTATGAGCGATAGTCGTTGGTTTAGCACGTTTCGGTATAATAAAAATTCAATACTCCATTTGAGTTGTCAAGCGATCGAGAGTATAGCTTCGAAAAAGTTAAAGTTAAGTGTACATGTCGTAAGCATAAACAACCAAAGGTGCTCCGTAAAACGAAGCCTCACCCGATGGAATCCGGTCTCCTCGGCAACGTCCGCCGTCGCCTAGCGGACACAGCGCTGCAACAACTCGGCGACGAGTAGAGCCTTCGCTCTCCCCGGTAAAGGACGATCAAGCTGCCGCTCCTGCTGATACTACTGTCGTCCGAGCCCGCGCTGCTGCGCTGTCCTCGTCGCCGACGCCTGTGCCAACTCGAACGACCTGCTCCACCCAAGATCAACCACGCGTTACTCCAATACTCTTGTACACACGTGTATTACAATACTAACGCTCTTGAGCGCGAGTTTTTCGCCCCACGTCTCGGGTCTTGTTCCTCCTGGCGCGGCTAATGGAAAATCAAGGCAGAGAGTTTGTCATGCAAGTTCGGCTGTGCGTTACAGCCGAGAGGCCACCCCCTCCGCGATAACTTTGGCAGTTACCCGAGCTTGTCCTCCGCGTCGCTCCGATGCCTCGACCCCGTAAAAGTTCCCCGGCGAAGCTGGGAATTTTCGCGCTTTGCCTCGCTTTTACTCCCGCGATGCCGCGCCCCGGGAACCTCGACGCAGCTGCAGCCCTGCTCGGTCAACTTTACTCCTTGATCTGTCGTTCAAAGTCACGCGTAAGTGGGACAATTTTGAGAGAGGGAAAAAGAAAAAAGAACGTTTGTCGCCACAAAGTACGTACACGCAGAGTCGAGGACTTACATCAACTTACGTAATTTTGTCCCGAGGGACGAGTCGCGTCCGATGGCTGCTGGCCGAAAATCTCGCGTCTTCCCCGCGGTGGTTCTGCTGCCTCTTTTGCCGTGAAGGAGAGCCCGATGGGAGTTGCGGGCGGGTCCCGCTGACCTATATATGTTACCGATACCTCGAGGTTACAATGGGCGTGCTTTGCGCTCGATCATCGTTACCGTTTGCACGGCTCGTCGAAAAGGTGATCGATGCGATACGGGGTCGATTGTTTCTGGTCGACGACGCCGGGGACTTTGGGATTTAACTTTGTGGCGCGAATGAAGACAACGGAGTCACATAACCTGACTCTATTTTTTTTTTTTTTTTTTTTTTTTTTTTTTTTTTTTTTTTTTTTTTTTTTTTTTTTTTTTTTTTTTTTTTTTTTTTTTTTTTTTT